AGATATCACAAGCAATGCTGGCTGCTCAGCATGCAAAGAATGTTCTGTATTTATTTGTCACACATACAAGTGTTTATGGTTTTAGAGAATGAATCTGTCAAGAATCACATTTGATTTTTAAGCCCCACCCACATTTTATCGCGCATGTATTCTACGTATTAACTTTACACTTTGAAACTACCTCCGTACATCAGCTGTTTGCCAGAGATGCGGTTCTCAGTTGGTTGCTTTTACAGTTTGCTCATTTGCTTTTTATTTGCTACACTGATCTGTGCATGTGTATAATCACCTACAGATCATGAACATCACAGTTCTGCTTGGCTTCTACTCTGGTCTTCCATCAGTCTTGCATCAAAGAGCATGGATTTATCCATGGTGTGCTTTTGCAAATAACCACAAAATTCTGCTGGGCTCTAAAGTGACCGAGGTCCAGGCTTTGATAATGGGACGTTGAAATGCGCATGACAACAGAAAGTTTAAATGGATTCTCATTGCTGTTTCCACAGACAATACTCAACTGTTGCCACAAGGTGGCAGTAATTGACATGATAAAGGCAAATAGCGTGGTCTTCTGTCCCTTTATGGGAGAGACTTGATACATTTTAATGGGGCGGCATTCAAGCAGGCCAAGAACTGCATCTGAGTTAAAACATACCAATGAAAAAACGTACCATGGCATACGCAGATGAACCACAACAGACAAGCGATAGACAGGAATCCCAAAATATTTATATTTGATCCTGGAATTCTTGACAGTATTTTGACACATACCAGCAAGCATACATGGTGAACAGGCCAGTGTTTTTGCCACTCTAAACTGTTCTAGACTAACCCTTAAAATCACTGTCAAAAAAAATGTAATAATAACTTTAAAAAGTATACACTTGTCGAACTTCAGGCCTCGAGGGCCGGTGTCCTGCAGGTTTTAGATATCACCCTGAGTCAACACACCTGAATCAAACAATTCATTCGTTACCAGGCCTCTGGAGAGCTTCAAGACATGTTGAGGAGGTAATTTAGCCATTTAAGTCAGCTGTGTTGGATTAAGGACACATCTGAAACCTGCAGGACACCGGCCCTCGACACGTGTGCACTAGAACAAAAATGACATTAACCAAACTAAACCACCATACTACACGTGAGCATATTACTACCACTTATGCCACTTAAAGCCTTTATTGTATCATACACCATACATAGAACTTTGAGGTTAAATAATGACTTGCGATGTCTCTGTTCATTAAGACTAAATCATTTAGATTTGCTAAACCCATAAAGCAGAGGAGGTGCCTTACACACACAAAAAACCAAAGATTTATTTTGCGCAGTACAAATATCAGTGTTACTGGAGTTGTCATTTTTAGGCTCAGTACAGAAAAAAATGTAAATGTGTACAAAAATGGGAATCATGGAAAGACTTCTAATATTAGAGATTAACAGTGTCACCATTGTCTTGTTCTGAAACCTGTTAGGTACTGGGAGGCTGAGCAGCCTGATAACGGTGGTGGTGATCCAAAGTGGGGTGAAGAAGACTGTGCACATATTAGAACTGGCAAGGATACAGAAGAAAACTGGAACGACCGCTCATGTGATGCTACTCTGAGGTGGATCTGTGAGAAACTGGCTTAGCACTGAGCTATATGTTTACATGCTTTTGAAAGGCATAGTGCCAGTTCCATCTCATCTAGAATATTTATTAAAAATGTTTATTAAAAAGGTTTATTTGAAATGTTCAGAGTACCTGAAACCAGTTATGCCATGGTTACTAGACACTGTCTGTATTTATGTAGATTTAAATGGAAGAAGAGCTGTACAGTAACTCCAGAGGTAGAGAGTCACTGTAATTTCAAGAAATAAAATCTTTACTCCTAGTAGAAAAGCCATAGTTCATGAAAAGCTATGACTATTTAAGAGTTACTTAAAAAGGAAAGAAAAAAAAGGTTAAATTCCAAACATAAAAACAGATAGACTGTACATAAAAGATAGTTGCACAATACAGGTTAAAAAGGAAGCCAGGGTGGAAATGTCATATACCTGTCTTTTTTTCTACTGACCAGCAGAGGACAACCTTGTAGCTGTCTACAACTCGACTTCTCGCTTGATTTAAAACCTCAGTATATATTTTTCTAATGACTTTATGGTCTCATTCAGTAGTATTATGACTTTATCATGTTTAGTTTGGAAAGTGCCATTTAAAAAATACCATGCCATATAAATAAAAACATGCTTGTGGATGAAACTCTATCAAATGATATAAAAGTTAATATTCTATCAATACCATACTAAACCTGTACCCGTGAAGCACACATAAACACATACTGTGTTGTTATCCACAAATCTCTGAGGAAAGTTTCCAGCACATTTTTAAATCTATGCAACAAAGAAGTAAGGCAGTTCTGGATGGAAAAAATTCTAATTCTAGTTTTGATGCCTTCAGTGAGAATCTACAATGTAAAATAAAGCCAAAAAAACATTAAATGAGTGGGTGTGTCCAAAATTTTGATTGGTAGTGTATGATGACTTCCCGTCAGTCTGCAGAAGCTTCCTCATCTGAGGTGCAGGAGCATTGCAGCAGCCAATCCCTAGGGATCCCCTAAGGATCAATAAAGTATTCTGATTCTGATTGTGATTATTTTGTGGCGACCCCATGCAATTACATCTCCATATTGTCACCCTACATTTGTAAGTGTCACATTCACGATGGTGGAATCTCCAGCAAAGTGCCCTCTGCAGTCCCAGTCTGCCAATACCAGGCTCTCCTTCTGCATGCAAGTTTCATCCAGAAAAGACGACAGCAGGAATACTCACTGACTGGAATGTCCTCAAGAGTAAAATTAAGTTTAATTGGAACATGAACATTATTGCTTAATACACCTCCTTTATTATTGGACTACTTTTCATGGCTGAATTGTAGTTCCTTTTATCTAAAAACAAAAACAAAAAACCAATGTTAAGTACATTATACTCAAAAGAATCATATCAATCAATCAATCAATCTTTATTTATAAAGCACTTTTCATACAGCAATGGTAGCACAAAGTGCTTTACATGGTTAAAAGCAGCCCACCCCACCCCGCCCTCCAACTCACTCCCCACACACACACTTAAAAAGTAAAATTGGGCTGGACAGACATGAGCCAGGTGATGCACATTTTAATTCCAGTGAAAAATACTATGTATTCCATTTTTGTTTACATTTAAGTTTATTGCTTGAACTGTTCTTTCCTTGCCATGTGTTTTCTTAATGTTGAACAATATTTTCTGACACAAATAAATAGAAAACGATCATATGTATAATTTTCTTGTCATATTCTCTCAAAATTAGTGTAGTAAACTATTGCAAAGAAAGTAGAAAGAAAGTAAAACTATTTAGGAAATATATAGGAAAAACTTATCAAAAGGTTATAACACAGATTTTCGTTTGTAAAACGTCTTCTAAATTAACAGGTAAATAGATAACTGACTAAATAAAATGTCCACATGAAATGTACATATGAGATACAGACTTTTATAGATGTAAAGGTTCTAACAAATGACAGTTTAAAATATTGCTACAGTGTCTCCAGCTGTTTATTGTTCCTCATCTTCCATCAAGTAGAAACCAGGGATGGAAATTTTCTCCCAGGCTTCAGAAGCAGCAGTGTTTGCATCGTCATTATCATCATTGTTTCCTGACAGCTTAATAGCTTCAAGGTAGGGCTCACAGATGTTTTTTGCTTTTTCTGTTGCCATTTCTTTTAGTTTGTCGTTTAGGTGAATACTGACTTCCTCTGCTAGAAGGTCTTCAAATACTACACTGTAGTAAGGCTGACAGCGTGGCCTTGTTTTAAAACAGCTGCAAGACAGTCTTTTAATTTCACAGGTCGTCCAGACAAATAAAAAACCACAGATGAGAAAAAGACCATAATCCTGGAAAAGAAAAAAAAGATACAGTTTGAAAACAATTCACATACTTGTTTTAAATGTAGGTTTGTTCTTTTAGTCAAGTTCAAGTTTATTTCAACTCTTTTTGCTTTTCTTAACATTCAGCTTCCAATAACCTGGCAGTACATAAAAGTCTTTTGAGCATGGACAGTTGTTATTAAAGTGATGTTTTCTTTCTCTATTGTCAGTCAGACACACAGCTTTTGAATTTTGCGCAAGCATCCACTTGATGCTCTGAGCGCACTAAGTAAAACATTGTAATACTTTCCTTACATGGAGGTAGAACTAAAATGCTTTTAAATGTAACAAAATTTCATTGTCTTACATTTTTTAACATGTGAATTTTAGTTTAAAAATGATGTTAGTCAAATTGATGTTGCATGATTGTTGTGTGTTGTTACTTACAAGTGATTGAGTCATATAGTCTCCTATAATCCGTTGCTCCTCATAGGTCAGATTTTGTTTGCATGGAATTCCAGTCTGGTTCTTGTTGAAGTTTGTCTTTAGGCAAACGAACCAGTCTCCATCAAAAAGAACAGCAGATATCCATACAGCCGCCAAACTGATCCACTTAATGAAAACCTTATAGGCATAGCTGCCAACACCCATAGCACATCTCGAGAGAGAGTGACACCAGTAAATAATCTTTCTTTGGTGAAAAGGTTCAACAATGATGACAATAAAGGCGAGGATCAAAGGCGGCAGAGCCATGTACAGTACACCATTTGGATGCAGGCCCGGTTCACACGAGCATAAAAAATGCATGTTAAAAATGTACTGCAGGATGTAGAAGATGACTATGAGCACCAAAACACCCACAGAATTTCTGATTACTTGAAGAAGTTTGTAAGTAAACTCCGGAAATGCCATCCTGGATGAAATTAGTATCGGATGTCTTAAGCTAGTAAGTTAGATTTTTGAAATGTTCCTCCTCCAATGGCTGAGTGAAAATGAAAAATAATTCTGAAGCATAAAGCATATAGTACCATTATATTGCCTTTAAATACATTATGTGCCCATGGTTTACCACAATGAGGCTGGTTTAAGTACTTTCAGAATGATGCAAATCTTGGTTTTCACTTCTCAAATACATTTTTAGGGTTTTCCAGACAGATTCTATTCACTAATGAACAACATCACGGAGAGAAATTTCAGGAAATACACAGTAAAGTTATTCAAACAACATAGTGATATGGTTAATAAGATATCAGGTTAAAGTTGGTTAACTGTGACCAGTAATAAAAATGACCTAACTTAAGGAATGTGTTGTGTCTACACCAACAACTTGTCTCATAACAGCAATTGTAAATTGTATCATAAGGCACTTTGTTACTGGCAGCTTGTTGTAAAAACACATTTATTCACATGTTTTTAGTTTAATCTATAAAACAAGCAGTTTAACTGGCATAAAACAGTATTTTTGCAATATGATGAAAACTTATAACTAAGAAATGGTAGGTATTAAAAAAAAACTATCTACAGCAGCTGGACAGTATCTGAAAGTCATGTTCTAGAGAAATAGAAAAATAATCAGCAAATACCTGACACAGGATGTGAGAGATACACCTAGCACTTTGCCAAGGTAAGAAGGAAAAACTCCCTTTTTAAAGCCACGGCCAGTTGGGAGGGAAGAGGAAAGCAGAGAAAGACAGGACAAAGGATACACATGGGAGAGAACCACAGTTTAAATTTAGTTTTTAGAGGTATAAACCAAAAAGAGAGGTGTGAAGAAGAAGCCCTCAGAGCCTTTAAGCAACCTTGGCCTATAGCAGTGAAACTAAGGGAGGATTTAGGGTCACTTGATCAAGCGCTAACTATATGCTTTATCAAAAAGGAAAGTTTTGAGCCTAATCTAAAATGTAGAGAGAGTGTCTGTCTCCTGAATTCAACCTGAATCTTTTTCCACAGGAAAGGAGCCTGGAAGCTGAAGGTTGTGCCTCCCATTCTACTTTTAAAAACTCTAGAAACCACAAGTAAGCTCACAGTCTGAGAGCAAAATGCTTGGAATAATACAGTACTATTTAAGAAATCAAGTGTCCTGGTTATTCAAGACCTTGCATGTAAGGTATGTGGATTTTAAATTCAACTCTGGAATTAAGCAGGAGCCAGTGAAGAGAAGGGAGAATTATGCTCTCTCTTTCAAGTCCCTGTCAGTACTTTCACTGCAGCGTTCTTGACTAACTGAATGCTTTTCAAAGAACTTTTAGACAATGATGAATCACAGTCGTCCAGCCTAATAAATGCACCAAGTAACACCATGCATGACAATACAATAACATCTAGAAAGCACCTGGTAGGAAAAGACTTCATTTTTCAGCATGACTGTGATACCAAACACACTGTCAATACAGTAAAAGCATAGCTAGATAGAAAAATTCCCAATGGAGCACTATCAGTCATTGATTGGCCTCCCAAGTGCCTCCAATAAAGAGCTTTGACTATCTTTCCAGAATCATGGAGCACTAGTCCTGAAGACATCTGAAAATTACAAGAATGCTTGCATAAGTTGAGGCTGTGTTGAAGAATAAAGGTGGACATACTAACTGTTAGCTTTCAAGCTTGTTAGAACTGAGGTAAGGGCAAAAAGAAGATTTGCTTTAAGGGTTTGTGGCTTGTGTGCTATAATTTCATGTATGTTTGTGTAATTTGATCATTTTGAGCATTCATTTTTATAGCAAAATAACATTTTACATAATGCGCACCTT